TCTGGATACTTATTTTAGGAACAGCATGTGAAACGAATGATTACCATTAAGATGAGAATAATATGAAAGAGGTGACTTAAAAGGAGGTGGATATGAATTACTGAATGTCAAACATTTAGGTATCAGAAGTTGTGATGGAAGAACAGAGACTTAAGGTATTTCAGAAAAAATCACTGAGGAGAATATGTGGACCAAAAAGAGATGAAGTAACAAGAAGCTCCAGAAAAATGCATGATGACAAGCTTCATAATTTGATAATTTGTATATAAAATCATGCATTCAAACAGAACTGTTTACGCTTGAAAAGACAACATAAAAGGATAACATGTAGCACACATGGGAGTCATGATAAATGTATACAAAATTTTGGGAAGGGAAGAGATCAACTTCTGAGACCTAGGCACAAGTAGGACATTAGTAAGATATGAAAGTAACAGGTGATGACACAGACTGGATTTGATTCAGGATAGAGTCCAGTGGTGGGTTCATAACATGGTAATGAACCTTCAAATTCCATAGAAGGCAGGTAATTTCTTCAGTAGCTGAGTGACTATTAGCTTCTGAAAAGCACTCTGCTCCATTGATTTAGTTCAGAGTGTTTGACACAGAGTGCTAAGAATAAAGGTACCTGAATAGGAATGGGAAAAGTTACATTACATGAAGCTTCATAATTTGTATTTTTCATCTATTACTGTTGCAGAGATGAAATCTGAGATCATAAAAATAACATGTGTTCAAAATGTTCGTTCAAAAACATCATGAAAAGAAACCAATATTGGTATTTTGGGTTGTGATGCCTTTTAAACTTGGAGGTAACTGCCAATGTTTTCCACAATGTTGATAACTACCTACAAGTACTGCAACCCACAAAACTAACATCATTACCTTCATCACTGTGGGAACGTCAAATCTCACATTAACCTTTATCTTACTAGCGTTCCCAGTCTGGGACGTAAGTTGTGTACTCAGCCCTACGAACGTTCCCGGAGCGGAACTCAAAAGTTGCAACATTGTAAGTAGACTTGGCTACGTCTTTTGGCCTCTTTTAGGGGCTCTCTAGGGTTCTGACAAGTTCAACCTGAGCTGTCGACCCAGGAATTATAACCATAAACAGCAATAAACATTGTTATTGTCAAGTGGGTTTCAGCTTGGTTTTCAGACTCCCCCATTCAAAGCTACTCACATTCCTTGTCATGATCTGTGAAAATAATGTGTATCCACTGAAGTAGGGGAAACAAATATTTTTGTATGGTCATTAGTTCACAACCATGGCTTCTACCATGTCGAATGAGCTTCCAAAGCAGAAAGTAAAGTTACTAAGGCCTTTTTAGGCAATTAAGATATTAACTGCATTTTTAAAAAAACTCTATGTATTCTCTGTTCTATTCGAATAAATATGACTTTTATATCGTCAATTTAACATGTTTACTTTAGATAATATTAAAGTTTTCCGTAGAGCGTGCACAAAAGTTTAAAAACCTGCAAAAAACTCCGTAGGGCTGCTACCACTTTGCCATTTAAATCCCCGTCGTTTAAAGGTTAAGAAATGAGGCAACTTCAGAGGTTGAGGCACAAGTAACAGGGTAAAATTAAAATGGATATATTAGTTATAAAATCTATGTGGACCGACAGCTCAGGAACAACAGTGGACTATTGTGGCAATAATGCCAAATCATTCAACCTCATAATAACAAAGGAACTTTCTGAAGAGATTATTAATTATTAAATGCTGAAGGAAGAGTCTGCTTCACAGTGTTAATCAGTTTCAAGCATTTAACTTGAGAAGATTTTGAATATTGAAAAATGCACTTCTTACAGGTCTGCCACCAGAATTAAAAACAAATTCCCATAAACAAGTTACATAAAATTGAAGGCTCACACTGAAGTCTGAGTTTTATAGGTGTGTTGCTGAGAAAGCAAATAATATTCCAAAGAAATACTGCAATTGTAAGAGACATATCACACATTTATTCTCATAAGAGATGAAAAACAGACATGGGAGGGAGAAACAAAAAAGTAACGAACTGTCATATGTAACTCCTTTACAATGAACTTTTTTTCCCCTTGGAGTGCTTTTGTTTTCATACTGCTGGCATGCAAAGGCACCTACAGAAGGCATTTAAATCTAATATTCTAATAATGACTCAACTAGAATACGATCTACATTCTGCGCGTGAATGAATAAGCAAGTGAGGATGATATCAATGATAATAGTTAACACACAAACAATAAAATGAGTACAATGAAGGAGAAAAACAGACTTGATAGACAACACATGGCCACAACTGGTAATAAAAATATATATAGCAATACTGCACCAATATTATTTCACAAGTTCTCTCAACACTTCTCTCACCACGAAGCAGCAACATAGCAAAGTCGAACCTCCACAGCATGTATAACAAAATCAACAGTTAGAATTTTTATGTCCCATTTTGCTGGTGCTAAATTACCAATTACATAGCAATAATAATCATAAGCATAGTATTACGGTCTGTATCTGCCAGTACCTAGACTTATACCCTAGGCGAGACATATTTTATGTTGTCATTTCCTAATCATCCCTGCTTGGGATAAGGCACTGTATGCCCCATGGTTTGGATATAAGGCTTCTTATCCATCATCCCCAAAACTCATTTGAAACACATTAAAGGTAACAACTATATCAACAAAAATTCATTAAAATGTTGTAAAGAATAGAATATTCATACCACACACTCAGAAACCAAACACGTCTGCCAACTATGAAATCTGCATAAAATATGAATTACAACTTACACTTTGATTTTTAAACTTGGTGAATCTGCTATATCCTACACACAAATTTAAATTTATACAAGGTTTGATTGATGTGTCCAATGGAAGCACAATACAAATTTTATGGAAGCTGCTACTAAAATAAGATAAACATCTGATTATATATTAATATGAAATTATGCAACTAATCACTGGCTTCCTGTTAAATTTATTTGGATAGTGAAGGAATACACTAATGTGACTCAAACTGTTCAAATTTCCTACCGACTTTGAATCGTATCCCCCTCCATTTGGCCCCACCATTTTACTTTCCAACATCAGAGGAGAAAAATTATATTTTATCAAACTTTTGGACACTCAACTTACATTAAGAAAAAAAGAAAACCCCCCCTCCCAAATTTTGTACAAATACAAAGGAGTTTGTGTAGTTCATTCACAGCACGGTGTGTACGTATAACATGATTAAACGGACATCGCCAACAGATACCGTGAACACAAGAATTTTCACTAAGAGTACTATTATTTTTCCCTTAATACATATCTTCATGTTAATTCTGAACTTTCCTTAATTATGATTTAGTATAAAATAATTTAAATGTATAATTCACTCCAGACGTAACAGAAGTGACAAAGCAACCTTCTGTTCATGCCAACTTCAAGCTAAACATGAACAACAAAATCATCACAAAAGCTATTACATGTTTTCATTGCAGAAGTATCAATATTATAGTAATTATTCTGTGTTTGATTTTCACAACTCGTTCATAATCTTTTACAACAGCATCAAAGAACTTTCCTTTAAATTTGAAAGATTTGTATGGACATGCATTAAATTATGAATGAAATCCAAAATGCTTTCATCAAAAATAAAATATTACATCATTTTAACTTAACAATATTGCTTCTGTGACATCATCCACTTAAAGTTTGTACTAATTCCATTCTTTCACTCTATTAAGAAAGTATATAATGAACTGAAAAATTTGAAACCAGTTATACAGCACTGAATTCACATAATTATTGTACTGCCTGTTAAAAATCTCCACATTTATATTCAGGTAATTTCTTTCAGTAACATACAATATACCCAAGTATTTCATTTCACATTATCTGTGACTTTGACAAAAGTTATTCCCACAATTTCATTACTTCTCCTTTGTTTAAAATACTTCTCTTCAACCAACAAGGTCCTTGTATAACCTGCAGAAAAGTAACTCCCCATGACACCAAATCACAAAACAAATAAAAATTTGTTGTATGCCAAAATTACAGTCCCTCCTATTAATACTTTACTAATTGCGCAAATAAATTTTCTCGGGTCCGTCTATCATAATTAGTTTGTACTAGTCAATTCAATCAAAGTTACCGCATGTATTTACAATTCCGTCGACAAAACAAATCAAATATTGTACTAGTACACCCAAAATAATAGGGCTGCAACAAAACAAACCAAGTGTTTACAAGCAAGCAATTTGAAGTTTCACAGAGTGTAAATAAAGAGCTAGAATCTTATAAAATGTAACTGATACCTAGCAGAAGGATAAAAACTATAAAGGTGTGACCTCGTTACCATCACGTTAAATGTAACTTCAGCTTCCAAATAGTGCCATAATTTATTTTTAATTTTCTTTGGTTGTGGCCGTATTATTGCAGGTGTCACAAATTCACATAATCTGATATTTGGGATATAAGCAACTGTAAACTTACTTGGTGCAGGGCTACAATGAACATGATTTACAGTGTAGCCTGGAAGACCCTTTAAACGATTTTGGTCTACATTTTTATATTGTATAATCACAGTTTCATCCTATGCTATTTTCCACAGTTATCAAAATTCGAGAGATTATTAGATTTAAAACATGAGAAAGAAACAAAATAAATAAACCACATACTCATCTTAAGAACCCCACGAAGCTTTCCCCCTACAGAGGGTACAGCGCTGGATGGGAATTATAGTTTCATAGTAAATATAATCCCTCATAAAATATCCTTGCCCTTATGTTGATATGAACCAGGGACATCAGTAAGCGCTACTGAACCCACGTGCCTTTAGATCCTAGTTCAATACTCTGGCTTCTATTACTCATTCGTGGAATGAGTAACCGAATTGTCATAATTTAGCACCAGAAATGGGGAACAAAGGATCCGCTGATCCTACTCCCCAGAGACTACAGGAAGGAGAACCTTAAAAGGAACAACTAACCAAGCAATTGTGCGATCATGAGCTAGGTTACGCCTAATCCAAAGAAATGGGAAAGCCGTGTAACTTGGTTCTGTATGTCTCACACTAAGCATTATCTAAGAATTGTATCTAAACAAAAAAAGATTTTTTTATAAAATAGCATTTGAAAAAAAAATCCTACCTGAGTGACCACACAAACCATTTTTTGTTCCATTTTTATAAATATTTAATTTTACTTTTTAAATTAAATATATTATATATATTCTGACTCTATGTTAATAATAATAATAATAATATAATAATAATAATAATAATAATAATGTAATATCTATTCTCTTTACATGTTATGGTACAAATGCTAGGATGATAAGCATTTCTGTTAACACAAAAATGTTTATCACACTATTCCTTTTAGAAGACTTTCACAAAATGTTACATTATGATACCCTTTGTTGTCCCTAAATTTTCCATTTACAGTTTCAACAAAGTTGGTCTGCTCGTTACATCATTTTGTTTCATTAAGGCTTTGATGATATATATACATACATATATATTTTACGGACATCTGAAGTCCATCATGTCCTTGACGCCTACAGAAATGCACATTTATTTTCTATTTTGACTCACATGTAGTCGCCGCCATTACGTCAGTCTGCAATATGAGTTCTATAGATTGTGACCATTCCACTAGCATGAAGTCTCTTTTCAGGGAGACAGAATGAAGGAAAAAATGTGACAACTAATAAGCAGACATAAGAATGCAGGACTGTTAATATAAATCTAATTAAATTGCTTATCACATTTCCTAATCAGCCCTGTAATGATATTGAAGAACTAAAAAAAGTTAAAAACAATTAAAGTTGATCACATCACCTTTCACACAGTGATGATTGGAGTCAGGTAAAAACCTGGATTTCGCTCTCGGCTGTACTACCTCTCGCTTAGTATGTGGGCCTGTTACCGTCCATAAGAAGCAAACATTCTCGCTCCCACCTGGTAAAGTTTAGTAATTCTTAAACATGAAACCCCACCTCTGCTCCTGCTGGAAACATTTTATAAAGACTTATTTCTGAAATATATATTCACATTAAAAATTAGAATTTATTATGAAGCAGAGTGTAGAAGTTTGACATTTCTAAAAGCACTACCACCTGCCAAGACCCAGATGTCAACTACTATATCACTTGGCACGTGCCAAAACTGACACATGACTTCTGCATGTACTGAAAACATGCACTGGCTCTACTCCAGGTATCCCACTCAATCTCAGCCAGGATTTTTCAGGATACGGCGCTGTCGGAAATCATAGACACGGCGGCAGAAGAACACCAGCTCAGGGGCAACACATCCAGGTGGCTGTCTGTTTTCTCGGGGATACTCGTCATGTTGTGGCACTACCAGTCCAGGTTCCTTCACACCTTCCTCCACGCGACGCACACATTTACGATACCTGAAACCAATAAAAGACATTTTAGTCTGAAATACAAACAACAGAACAACTGTGTAAGACTTGAGGTTCTCACAGCGAATCATCGCCCTGATGACGGAGGCAGTATGACCTCTGAAACGTTGGTTAACATCGACCAGACTACACAGCGCAATACCCCAGAAGACGGATATCTTCAACAGAACAACTGGTTTAATAACACAGCAGATTCAAGCGAAAACAAATGCCCAATTACTGTAAACATATTCAGAGAAATATCATGGTAGATGCACATAATTTCAACAATATATATATATATATATATGTAAACATAAAATAATTCTTCCACTATATTTTTTGTTTGTCAGATATATTTTTCAATTTTATGACTATTTAGAAAATATTTTCAGACTTATATTTTGGCCCCATTTCATGAAAGTAAAGTAGGTTTTTATACATATAAATAAAAATCTATACAAAAGGAACCCATTAAAGTCATCATCATCATCCTTTTTCGTATTAGGCCACGAGGCCTGTTACGGTCTTGTATTTTCCGTCCATCTCTTCTGAGGTCGGCTGAGAGATCTTTTCCCAGCAGGGTGGTATTTCAAAATTGCCTTTGGGAATCTACTGTTGGTCATTCTATACACATGATTTGTCCAATTTTGTTGATATTGCCAAATGTAGTTCATTACAGGTTCCATCAAAGTCAATTATTTTATTCTGTTCTGTTGCCTAAACACTGGTGCATAAAATTTGATCGCATGGCTCAATTAAGTGAGATTTCAGCTGCCCACAGCACCAAGTATGAATATGAACAACAGCCATTATAAGTTTTACATTTTGAAATACCAAAAATGACAACTCGTACTGTGAAAAGTATGAGAGATAAGTTTACAAAAGCCTGGCTTACTTTCACAAACATTTTAAACAGATTTGCTTTAACAAATAATCATGTTTAAACAATAATACATAGCCTTAAAGTATTTGTATAAATCTTTAATTTCGCAAGTAGCTATATCAACAACAGATATTTGAGAAGCGACACATAATTATGTGGGAGTTCTTAAAAAAACAAAGCAGAAACAGTTTTGAACATCAGTAAGTATAGCATACCTGCAATACTCATTGAATGTAAGAACGTAGCATTTGTCCTCGATGCACGCAACACTATTGATGTCTTTATGCTTTGAAGCAAAAATCTCATCTTCCATATCATCGGGCTTGCGACCGTGGTCCGTGTGTTCTGGACGATAGTACCACAGCAAGGACACCATCATTTCTCCTGCATAAAGTAATGAAGAAATATTGTTTACTATATTTACTTCACCTAAATAGAAGTGATGACTAGAAAGAGGATGAAAATATTATATTTTGCAGCATATTTTTCACAAATTTGCAATAACAAAACTAACCATCATCAGGATTCTCCCAGAGAGAAGCAACCTTTGCAACAAAAGGCAGGTCTGTCTTTCGGGGTCCTGACTTCAGCAAGATGCAGTCACGAGGACGGATCACGTCTCCCTCATTATGTCGCATCAGAGGGTAGCATTTCCGTAGCTTCAACTCATCATCGCTCTAAATAACACATAACAATAATTGCTTCCATTGAACAACGCCTCTAATTCATGACCCTACATCAGTGGTCCCTAACACGGTGCCCGTGGGCGCCATGACGCCTGCCAAGGGTTTTTTGGGTGCCCGCATTGTTACGGAAAGAGGTTATGCTGAATAATGAAGGTCGTTCAACCATGAACATTATAAAATCAAAGCACAGATCTCGACTTACTGATGCCCATCTTGACGATTGTTTGCGAGCAGCAACATCATCCTAGACTCCCAAATTTGAAAAACTGGCCGATGAAATTCAGTGTCAAACATCACACTAACTTCCCACTTGAGTAATAATAATTGTACTTATAAAAGTACGTATTTTTGATTGCTGGTTTCTTGTATCATCAAACGTCGTGTTGTTTTGTGTATTATTTGGTGTCCATATCTTATTTGTCCAGAGAAAAGAAAATTTGGCTTTGTTAATTGGTTGGTGCCTGCCACGATCTCATAGACTCTCAAATGTGCCCGTAGGCACAAAAAGGTTGGGGACCACTGCCCTACATGATATAAATAAGAAGCTCTAAGCAGGGTTCAAGAAGCTTACTTTCCTGTTGCACAGATTTCAAGTCATAAATCTAGAATTTTAAATGTTATAAGAAGGCAATGCAAGGTTACAATCCGAAAATAAAATGTAAAGGCATTTTCTGATAACAAAAACTATGCAGTGAAAGAAAGGATAAAAAGGAGGAACATTTGCTAAAAATTCAAGTAACCCATCTAAATAAAATGTGGCATATTAACATAATCTCCCCATTACAAAGAACACATATAACATAGCACAAACTTTGGGCCCCATGACTTTCGCTGCACAGTTATGAGGGCACCTTATATTTTAATAACAAACTGGGTTAAAACTAAAGAGGAGCATTTCAAATTAAGCAAAGAAAAATAAAACAATCAAACTGAAGAACTTGATGTAGGGATTCTGTTCTACTCGCAGTTTTAGGTTCATTCTTTGGTATCAGAAAGCCCAATATTTAAATAAGTTTTTTCAAGCATTATGAACTCAACATTCAAAAACCACGACCCTTATCAAGACAGTAGTTAAGACTTTCACATTTTTGTAATTTCTTCAAATGAGAAGAATATGTAATCTCCCACTGGACACACATGTTTAAGTATTTTCATATCTTCTTCTTTTCTGTTGTTTATGTAACTTTCGTATAGCCTGAAGTGAGAGGGTAAATGAACTTTCCTAACAGCTTAAATTAAATTTGTCAGTACTATGAAGCTAATTATTTAAATATTTACAATCCAGTACGTTTTACATTAAAAATATATCCCACAAATGGATCTTAATCCACACCAAACATTTTGGAGGCTTATGTGGGCAGGGAAGAAAACACAGAATGATACACTGCCATAGTAAAGTACAAAAATACATACCGAAACAAATACTTTACTTTCAAATGGATCCCCTTCAAATTTCCAGCCATTGGACCACTTGGGTGACTGCAGCAACTTCTTTGGAACAACCTTCCTAGAAAGAGCAGTCATAACAGCAACCGTTGTGTCCTGCTGCGGCTGTTGTGTCTGCTTTTTAATCGTCGATATATCATCGTTTCGGACAACTAGGGATGCAGATTTCTTTGACTGATCCTTCCTGCTTCCAGTGGATGTTCTCCTAACAGCAGTAATGGGTGAAGGGTTCTGGAATGAGGAACAACTAGACACCTTTCCTCTAGAAGCAATAGTCTCAGTATCACTTGATGACTGATCAGACAACGAGTCGCGCAAACCACGGCTACGTAACATATGGCCAACTCTTACTGTTTTCTCACTAGTGTACGTTTCCTCTAAAGACAGAGAAATGTGTTCCGACTTCTTACGTTGGTGAGCTTTCTTCCCATGTGTGTGAATATGAACCTTTGAAACATCGCCGCGCAAACAGTTAGAAGACTCGAGTTGCTGTTTGCCAGCCTGATGTCTCAAGAATGGTTTCTTCTGATGAGAGAGTGCGCCGTTGATCTTGTTTTCTGACTTCTTGCGCTCTACACTTTTACTCCCTGATGTCTTCTTACTCACTGGAGCAACATTTGAACTATTGTTCCTTCTCGTGGTCACCAAGGGTTCCAAGATTGTTCGACTTTTTGTCACAACACTGTCCGGTACATCGTCGATTCTCTTTGGAGCTTCACATTCTGTTGTTATTTTCTTAACCTGTTTTGCACGAGATGGATATATCTTTGTCTGTAACCTCTGAACTTTGGTTTCTCCTTTCTTCTTTGCCGGAGGCTCCTTATTTTCTGTCAGATTTTTAGCATCATCGTGTTTCCGTTTTCGTGCATTGTGTTTCGTACTGTGCAAACTGCAGATGTTAGAATGAAGAGGTTGGGACTTTTGTCTGTTCCTGCACTTGGTCTGACATTCAAGAGGAACGCCATTCATTTGGTCCTGTGGTTCACCTGCTCCATTAGTCTTTTGGGATTCTTGATTTGAAACTGACAGTCTACTGTTGTCAGCATTTGAAACGGAGAGCTTGCATCTTTTTGGCACTGATACTTCAGCGTCACTGTCTACAGGCTGAATACTCCGCTTCCGTGATGAACCATCTCTAAATATGGCTTTATTTCCATTCTGGGTCAGTCCTGGACAGTTGTCATTTTCTACAAACACTTCTATATCTAAGTTTCTCACTTCTGTCTTCATAATATGATTCACCATTTTTGGCTCCACACTCATCATATTTTCTGGTTTTGTCAACACCACTTCTGCCGAGTTCTGTCCTTTTTTCTGAATCTCAAGATTACACATCAGTAAAGGTACACCATTCACAGCTGGTGGTGAATTCTTCTTAGCTTTCGCCCTACACGCAAGCACATCTGGGTTTGCCACGATCTTGCTTATCGCTAACAGCCGATGTCTTGAAATGTCTGTTTTACATACGTCCTCGTCACTCGATATAGACGTTGCACCACTGCCAAAATCCTGATCTGGCATACTGTGCAGATCTTGTATAACCTCCACAGTAGAATTCAACTTTGTCTCTCCCACACAGTCCTGACCTGTTGGCTCCTGCTTTCTTGTCTCCAACTTAGATTGCGGCTCGGTACCTCCGGCATCTGTGACCCATCCTCTTTGCTGGAGAGCAGCTTCCTCTTGAGTGTGGCTAGGATTTCGAGCAGAAGCGGTGGCCGGCGATGGAGGTGGAGGCATACCGGCGCTTCCACGAGCTGGGCTAGGCGGTCCCAAGGCTCCGGGAGGCTCAAGTGGCAGAGCTAGTGCCACAGGTGGAAGAGGGAGCTGATGAAAAGAAGCTCCAGACTCTTGAACAGGCTGCTGTTGTTGCTTTGTAGTGATGTGTGGCCCCTTACCATCACCAGTAAGAGGCCCAGTATGGACGTTTTTTGGACACGACTGCATAGGACAGGGGCAACTCTGGTATGCTGCATCTGCAAAAGAACCTGCTTCATGTTACTCTCCAGTGCCATGCAAAATAGTAATAAACAATCTGCGATTCACAGTGGATATATTCTCTAAGGTAGATACAATTTGCTATCAAATAACGCTGTGTTTGTACTAATTCCACGTGTGGCTACTTCAAATTAATTATAACAGAAGCCAAATTTAAAATATGACACCAGTGTTCTAACTGAAAATTTGAAATATAAACAATGCTGTATCTACAATAATAATAATAATAAAAGTTGACAGTGGAACCACAGTTCCGGAGGATCTGACGTAAATACGTCTCTGTAATGTAATGAAATGAAATGTAATGTAATGTAATAATTCTTACATAAGATAAGTACTTGTGACATTCTAAAACGTTTTTACCAACACAAAATTATCTACTCTACGACGCACTTCTTCTACAAGTATTATTATTATTTTTATTATTATGACTTTTTCAACATCCTATTGTCATCTGACTGTCTTATGGATCCACAGAATATAATTAAATTATTATTCATAGCTCAGCCCTTTCCGCAATAACGAAAGCGGATTGTTGACGGCAGTAATGTAACACAACAATGCCGAGTAGATGACGTAACAATTAGTTTCTTAGGTAACATAACCATTGTTGTCGGTCCATATTTACACATTGTTGATATGGATCTTACACATCTTCGTTACGCTTTTTTACATACTAGAGCAGAGCGCTCCTTTCAGAGCTCCTTGGGGTGTTGGTCAAGTTTTTAAAACGCAACCAAACCCGCCCGAAGGGAGGTTGGTTGCATTTTAAAATCTTGTTTTAAAATTTTGAGTAAGAAACTAAACCAACCCCCCCCCCCAAATGGGGGGTTAAAACACTTGACCAACCCCCCTTTGGGGGGGTTGCTTTTTAAAATTTTGTGTAAGAAACTAAACCAACCCCCCCCCCAATGGGGGGTTAAAACACTTGACCAACCCCCCTTTGGGGGGGTTGCTTTTTAAAATTTTGAGTAAGAAACTAAACCAACCCCCCCCCGAATGGGGGGTTAAAACACTTGACCAACCCCCCTTTGGGGGGGTTGCTTTTTAAAATTTTGTGTAAGAAACTAAACCAACCCCCCCCCCAATGGGGGGTTAAAACACTTGACCAACCCCCCTTTGGGGGGGTTGCTTTTTAAAATTTTGAGTAAGAAACTAAACCAACCAACCCCCCCAAATGGGGGGTTAAAACACTTGACCAACCCCCCTTTGGGGGGGTTGCTTTTTAAAATTTTGAGTAAGAAACTAAACCAACCCCCTCGAATGGGGCTGTTAAAACACTTGATCAACCCCCGAAGGGGGATTGGTTGCGTTTTAAAATCTTGAGTAAGAAAATAAACCAACCCCCTCGAATGGGGCGGTTAAAACACTTGATCAACCCCCTCGAAGGGGGGTTGGTTGCGTTTTAAAATTTTGAGTAGAATATAATTAAATTATTATTCATAGCTCAGCCCTTTCCGCAATAACGAAAGCGGATTGTTGACGGCAGTAATGTAACACAACAATGCCGAGTAGATGACGTAACAATTAGTTTCTTAGGTAACATAATTAAAACGCAACCAACCCCTTCGGGGGGATTGGTTTACACAACAATGCCGAGTATAAACAAATATAGGGTGACATTGTTGATGACGTAAATTTTTGAAGACGACGAAAATCACAAATTTTTATAGTAGAAGAGAAGATTTATGTCAATAATTATTATGATACAACCATTATTAGTGTTATTTTGAGGTGTTGGGGGCAACAATAACAAGTCACAATGAAATTCATGACAAAATCAAGAGCAGATTAAATTCAGGGAATGGTTACTAGCACACTAGAAAATATTCTTTACCATTCTTTGGTATAGTGATGGTAAGCAGCTTACCAATGAAGAGACTCCGAGTGGGTGGGGAGTGAGTGTAACAACCTGCTGCTCCAGGACCTGCGCTGTACCCAGTGTAGTATCCAGGCGGTGGTGGCGGAGGATAGGGGTCAACAATTGACACAGGCGGCGGATATGTATCCACCAATGGCGGAGGAGGATTGCTTGACACCCCAACTAGAGGTGGTGGAGGAGGTGCTCCTGGGGGCTGGTAACTGCTTGCGGAGCCTGCTGAGGAACCGGTCACAACCATCTGTTGGCTCTGCTGACTCTGGCCGGAATTCTGCTGACTCACGTTCGACACTGGGCTCGAGTAGAGATCTGAGGTGTAATACTGGTGAGGTGGAGGAATGTAACGCCTGTGATAGGCTGAAGGGGGTGGTGTCGAGTAAGATTTGTGGTGAAAGTACGGTGCAGGAGGATAGTTGGCCGTAGTTGAGTAACAGAGATCTTGATTATGATAATGTGTATGATGCTGTTGAAGGGACGGAGGATTCGTGGCGACTGCCGAGTACTGAATGCTAGCCGAAGCAGGGGGAGAGGGGTAGTACTGAGTATGAGGGTAGTTGTAGGTGTAGGACTGATGGTGAATATGCTGGGGTGTCGATGGTGTGGGAGGTGGGGGGTAAGACTGAGCGTATCGATAGCCGGCCTGATGCGGATGCTGCTGTAGTGGTAAGGGCTGGGGTACTGGAGGTGGAGGAGCTACTTCCCCACCCCCAGAGCATGATGTTGCCGTAATGATCACGTCGCTGTCCGACTCGTCACCGCCACTTCGAGCGCCGCCCCCGCCGCCTCTAGTAGATGCCGCTGAGACAAGCTGCTGAGGTGTTGGTGGTACTATTGCAGTTGTGGTTGTTGGCTGCACTGATCCTGGTCCACTGTGACCTACTGCTGATGGTGGTGGTGTTGGATTGGGTGATGCTTCAAGAGTGGGCAGCACTGCTGGTGGAACTTTGCTGCTAATGCTGCTGCTGGAACTGTGATGGTGATGGTGAGTCGAGATCAGTGGGCCTGCTGGCTGATAATAACCTGGAACACATGATGTCAGGTATTTAATAAACGAGCAAGTTCATCATCAAGAGCCCATGCAATATAATAATATCGCATACACTTTTATGTAAATGAACTCAAAATCAGCCATCAGAAACAATCTACACAATTAAATTAAATAAAACTGTTCGTGTTTTGAGATCAAAACCGATCACGTGATATTTATTTAAACTTAATTATTGTTTACAAATAATTGCAATATAACCTGACTTTGTTGTTACTGACAGGGGCCTTCGCATTTTGATTGTCCCATCCGGCCCTAGTCTAAGACTAGGAGAGGCAAACTACACCCTTGTCTTAATCAAGACAATTCACACGATTCACGAAGGGCACATACTGCTGTCAACGTGACACAAGTACCCTGCAGCGTTTAATGCAAAACGCTTGTATACAGACGTTAAACAGAGTTTGCCAAAGGAACACAATGAACAAGGTGAGGTGGTCGTTAGAAGCTTGTACTATTTGCCCGCATAACACTGCAGTACTAAAATGGCGAAGCAGCTACGTATAAAACTATTACTACAAAACCAATTATGGCGAAGTAGAGATATGAACATCCACCTTCCTCTGGTATAGTTCTTAACCAAGACCAATAGCCCGCAATATCCCCAGCAACACGTATTTGAAGATTCCTGTCTTCTAAATTGTACACTGCGTGTGAGATTACCTTTAATTTACTCTATGGGTCACTTAACTGCAGGATTTAAATACACAAACAGAAGTTTCTCTCGTAAGAGAAACTATTTTGAAAAAAATTGTAGCTATCCATAAAACACATGTTGTCTTGTATAATTATTATCCTACAAAATTCTGATTTCGATTCAATCGCTGAAGCATATATTTAAAGTAGGCTACAAGAATTGCAGGACATATTTCACAGAGCTGATGAATCCTCAATTAATGGAGTACAGCCTTATTTCTGTGTAGTTTCCTGTTAAATATAAAGGCGCCCTTGTGCCTTGTGACCATATACTTAAGCTACAAGGCTCCACACATACAGAAGACCTGCGCATTATATGAACTCCAATACGTTCCGGTTGCGTCTGCCTGTCTTCCGCAAAGCGCCCTTGAAGGGCTGGCGTTTGCTTCTGTAAAAATAGATCTCTAAAACCAGGAAGTCTCATCCCGCGTTCCGTGCTATGATTCTAACATTGTATCACTGTACAAAGAAAAGTAATATTTATAATCTTTCCTTCCAATCAATAATTAATAAAATAACAGATTAGCAATTATTTAAAGAAAACAGAGAAATACGCAAATCTGTTTTAGACAGTAAATTAGTAATATCTTAAATAAACCGTCATGAAATTTAAAATAAAATGTCCTAATTTAAAACCGGTGTCCCCAAATAGGAGAAAACAATAAATGAGGCCACGGTCTTGAAAGGTTGGCACACCTGCTCAAAACCAAAAGTAGGCCTACATCAACATTCGGTAGCAAATTATAATACCATACATTGAAATCCAGCAACCAAATTCTAGAATCAGTATTTAAGAATACAACCTACCAAATATTACATATAGGTCCTAACCATCAGTGTCTTTCAGAAATGAAGAGAAAAATTCTGCACAAGGAGCCCGATCGAAATTCTTGACGAATTAACGGAAAAATCTGAGTTTAATAATAACAATGCTGGAAAGATGGCAGAAAATCTCAGCATCGAGATGTAACTGTTGGGAGGATTTAATAATACTGCATTTCCGTACGACCTGACTTCCAGACCAGAATTCGCCAATGACAGCTGACATACGACAGAGCGTATTTTTAGATATGTAAGTCTTATGGTCCTATTACACGTAGTTAAAACTGTAACAGCAACTGTAAACGTCACAGTCGAATAGGACCTCTTCAAATTAGTCTGATTCTGTGGCAGCACAAAACAGAGGGAAATAATTGCCCGTCCTTAATCAGCGTGTCTTTACAAGTCATGACAGCTGACATACGACAGAGCGTATTTTTAGATATGTAAGTCTTATGGTCCTATTACACGTAGTTAAAACTGTAACAGCAACTGTAAACGTCACAGTCGAATAGGACCTCTTCAAATTAGTCTGATTCTGTGGCAGCACAAAACAGAGGGAAATAATTGCCCGTCCTTAATCAGCGTGTCTTTACAAGTCGACGACAGTCACGATACAGCACGGCAGGTTCAAATTCAACTTCCGGATCCCTCTTTACAGTTCAATTCATCAAATGAAACAGACTCTCACAAGACTAATTATTTGCATTAAACAGGATTATTTGAATCGAACTGTGATGAAGTTAAGTGTCTAGTTTACGACAAAACACAACGAGCGACCCAATTCAGTCACGCTGGGATGATTTCAACATTTTACTCTACACTGCATGAAACTTAATGTAGGAGGGCAATTACAATGCGCGCGCACATCATTTTATGGCGTCATGTTGACTTGGGTGACATGGCAGTCGATGGTCTTCAGTGGTGGAAATTTGGGGGGGAACTTCAGAATCGAGACAAATAGTTTCTCAAACTTGAGAGCTGAAACTGATGAGTTCTGACAAACTCCATGGTTTGCTTTCGTTGACTGTAATGTAATGAAGGGGTATAATTATAGCCTACTCGTGACATAACGAAAGAACTCGAACACGAGCAAAACCAAACTAACAAAAACATTTGTTCTGATTACGGTAGCACGTAGAACCTGGAATACCAATTAAAATCGTTGGCAGGAAAATGTAACACATAATTGGCTTTCTTGTATATAAAATGCAGTATATGCTATGAAACACAGTTTACAACAAAATCATCTTACCTCCTTCCCACAGCTGCATCTCAAAGCCCACACATGTCCTAGTGATCGCATCTACATCAAGGCATTCTGCTGCTTTACTATTCATATTTCTGTTCTATAAACCATACACTTCATAGTTATTAGCACACAGCGTACGTTCTATTTTGTTATGTCTTGAAATAAAAGTAATTGTTCGTGATATTTCTGAAGACGCAACAGTGCTGCCAAAGTATATTTTAAATTTTAGATTATTATCGATAGTCACAATGGATGTTTAAATGCGTCGACACCAGATGGCTTTAAAGTTGCAAATCAAATCCTGTTGAGGTGGGGGATTTTTAGTAATTGTGATATGGGTATTGAAAACTGAAAAAAGTACAATTATTTAATAGAAACTAGTAACATTTTACGTCACCAAACAGACAATGATTTCGAATTTTATTACAACAGAGATATAATGTTTCGAACTAACTCGTAGATCGCCTCCTTGAGAAGCTGAAAATCACTTAGCCAGTCAAAAAATTCCCTGTGTAATTAATAATTTGTGTGCATATCTCTCTTATGTATGCATCTCGAGATTTAAAGTCGGGACTACCAAATACGAAGCAGGTGTGCTAAACACTCGACCACAAAGTTCAGCCGCATTTCAACTTCCTTGAATCGATTATCCTAATATTATTTTTTTAGAACAATTACATTCGAAATCAGAGTTGTGTACATTTACTACGAAGATATGCAGGACAAATAATATTAGTAGTTACCACTGCAGTATGAAAATAACTTTGAAATGATTTATGATCATAAAGCGCTGATATTCTAAGCGTACATCCTTCCCTTCTCGCAGATTGTCCTTCGTATCTGCGAGGAGAGACATTCCTGTTTCAAAGGTAAGAAAAGCCTAATAAAAATACGTCCTTTTTATCACAGCAAAGTTCTGCATCGCAATTCGGCTGACTAACACCCTCAAACAAAAACTTCACAGTTGTTCAAGCAACATCCTGTTATGGACCAAGCAGTTTCCGCCATCCCTGAAGCCTGACACTGTATTCCACCCTCAACACGTCACAATCCCTCTTGCCTATGATCAATGTTAACACTCTCCTTCCATATCCCTGCTCCCTCTAGTAGCCGTTACATCCGGCGGAATAGCACGCTGTGTTCCCATACGCCTGATCGACACGTTTACACGAAGATAATGTAAGTTTATGTAACGACGCTGAACGTACTAGATACGATAGATAAACTGTTGGAAAACAAACATCCGACTCGATTATCCTCGAAAGCCAACATAAAATCCCAGCCGCGAATTAAAAATGTAGGAAATCTGTTAGTAGACAACTGGTTTCCGAACAGAGGCTTCGTCTAGGTGTGCCTCCTGAAATGTTATACTGGCAACTATCATTATACACAAGGACTGATAATTATGGGTTTTCCACAGCATAATTTCTGTAGCCCGATTTGTAATTATTTCAAATTTGCCGCCGTTCGCAGTAAATGTACGGCTTACCGTTGTTAAATTGCCCTGTTATCGTACATAAATTACCATTCGAGGGCACCTTGAACAGTTTGTGAGAGTAACTTAATCTCTCAACGTAGGGCAATCCAGGACTATAGACATGAATCCACAGTTAATTCTCTCTTCAATAAGAATAATATTTAAGTGGAATACATCAACATCAAAGGCTATATCTCAGATTCCCATGATATCCACTCATCGTCACGGACGCTGATTGTGTGAGATGCAGAAAGTGCTTTGCGGCTTACATTAGATAGCTCAAGTAATATATCGGCCCGGATTATCCTGAGAAAAATTGAAGATTCCGTGGTAAGGGAAACGTTATTCTTTTGTTCTGTTAGAGGATAATATAAAACTCAAAATTCTCTACTGAAGATACACACATATAAACGTGTATAATTAATTTACTATTTACCGCTATCCTGTGCAAACAGATGGCATCAAAACTTCTCGGAATTAACAGTACAGCAAAATCTTTCTGGAACAGAAACTACATTAAACGGAAACAGGTTTGTATCGGAAAATCTACTTCATCCCGAGAATATAGAGTAGAAACTTATGTAAAATTACAACATACGTAAGCAGTACGATGCCGAGGCGAAAATAAAAAGCAACATATAAATGTTGTCTAAATAAATATTTATTTATGTGTGTATACTTCTGTTAGATGCTGTTGTTTCTGCTGTTAACGAAGAACAGTAATGAGACAA